CGTCCTTCTCTCCTCGACCTTGATCATGGAAGGCTACGACCTCGCCCTGTTGGGGAGTCTCTACGCCTCGCCCGTCTTCAACAAGAAATTCGGAGAATTCAACCCGGAGAAGGGCAAGTACCTCGTTTCGGCGGCTTGGCAGTCCGGCCTATCCAACGGAGCAAGAGCCGGAGAGATCTTTGGATTGATCTTTGCCGGATGGGCGGCTGATCGGATTGGGTACAAGAACACGGCGATTGCGAGTCTGGTGTTGATGATCGCGTTTATCTTTGTGTTGTTCTTTGCGCCGAATATCAAGGTGTTGGTGGTGGGCGAGATTCTTTGTGGCGAGTTTGCAATCTCTAATCAGCCATATACCATTCCTTTCCAAGGGTCGACATGCAGTTCGGACTTCCATTTGAAGGTCGCATGCTAACCGGTCCGAACCAAAACAGGAATCCCCTGGGGTGCCTTCCAGAGCGTTACACCCGCCTACGCTTCCGAGGTTGCGCCGATGGTGCTTCGCCCGTACCTGACCACCTTCATCAACATGTGCTGGGTGATTGGCCAGTTCTTCGCCGCCGCCGTCAACAAGGGCTCCGTGGGCCGGACCGATCAATGGGCATACCGGATCCCCTTTGGCGTGCAGTGGGTGTGGCCGATTCCCATCTTGGCCGGTCTTATCTTCGCTCCCGAGTCGCCTTGGTGGTACGTCCGTCATGGAAGGAAGGAAGAGGCCAAGCAATCGCTTCTCCGTTTAACCTCGAGGAACCAGCCTGGATTCAATATGGATGAGACGCTGGCCATGATTGAGCATACGAATGAGCTCGAGAAGCAGCTGAAGGAGGGTGTTACGTTCCGCGACTGCTTCAGAGGTATTGACCTCCGCCGTACGGAGATCGTCGTGGGTATCTGGCTTGTGCAAACACTCGGCGGCCAGAACCTCATGGGGTACTTCTCCTACTTCCTCACCCAAGCCGGCATGGATGCGAGCAACTCGTTCTCGCTCTCCATGGGCCAGTACGCCCTCGGCATGGTCGGCACCGCCGGCTCGTGGTTCCTCATGTCGCGCGTCGGCCGTCGGCGCATCCATTTTAGCGGTCTCTGCGCGCAGTTTTGTCTCCTCGTTATCGTCGGCTGTCTCTCCTTCAGTGGAAATAAGTCTTCCGTGTGGGCCATTGGCGGCGTGCTCATCGCTTTTACGTTCGTCTATGACTTTGCCGTCGGACCTGTGACGTATTGTCTCATTTCTGAGCTGTCGTCGACCCGTCTAAAGGCCAAGACCATCGTTCTTGCTCGTGCGGCGTACAATGCTAGCAACATCTTTGTCAATGTCATGACGAACTACCAGCTGAGCACAGGGGCGTGGAACTGGGGCGCCAGAACGGCGTTCTTCTGGGCGGGCAGCTGCTTGTTGTCGGCTATTTGGGTGTTCTTTAGGTTGCCGGAGCCAAAGGGGAGGACGTATGCTGAGTTGGATATCTTGTTTGAGAGGAAGGTTGCGGCGAGGAAGTTTGCAAAGACCAAGGTTGATCCTTTTGACTTGCAGAGTCATGGAGAGAAGAAATTATCGCTTGACGAGACGCAGAGCCATGAGGGGAAGGAGATTAAGGCTTGAATAGTGGGATTGTAGAAAAGTCTGTTGCTTGACTGATAGCGAGTTAATAATACCTTTGATGCCTATGGTTTGGTGTTTACATGACAATGGCTGTAAGAAAGCGTGAGTGTCCCCAACTTAAATGCAGAAATGAAGCTGAGCTGGTGGGCTCAGTGACTTTGTCGTCCTGCCGTGCTTTTCGGACTCGATGACAGCTTGGACATCTTGCGAAGAGCAAGGCTGAGAGAAGACCATGTTGGCGGACTGAAGTCGATACCGGCAGGTAAACGGATGCTTACCAGAGACACAATGTCTGGTGATGTCGTCGTGAAGACGATTTCGAGACCATTTTTGCCTCCATTTCTAGGCGGCCGCTCAACTTCCCCTTTCAGGCGAGTCAGTGACTTTTGGGGGCTAGTGCCAAGTCAATATAGCGGGTACGATGCCATGAAAAGCTTGAAACAACGGTAGGGTTTCATTGGGGGAGAGATCCAGGGGATCATCCGATCACATCACCATTCATGCCAGTTTCTAGGCCTGCGCGACACTTCTGTCCCTTTTCCCACCGCACATTTCTTTTGCCTGCCAGTCTGTCAGTTTGTCAGTCCATTGATCGTTCAGGCAAAGTGGGACGGACAGGATCTCGGTCATAACAACTACTTCACCGACCTCGCTCCTGCGCCGTAGAACCGAAGACACGCGTCTTTGATCATCCATATCAAAAGACGGGACGGGAAGAGAGGGCAGGACCGGACATCGTTCCGGCATTTGCAAGACGGCACCGCACCATGGAAGGATAGGACGGCGCTATTAGGCGATAGGCGACGACATGGGTGATAATGGCATAGACGGCGTCAACCGACGTGCCCCCGAGACCGCTGGTCATGCGGCTCCCGCTGCTGCGACTGACCATTCGGCTCAACCCGCGGCCGCACTCACACGCGGCTCTTCACCGTCCAACACAGTAGCACAGATCCCGAGTACGAATCACGGTGACATCCCATCAACAACAGCAGCTTCCGGTCCAGGTCCAGGTCCAGTACGGAGACAGAAGAAAAGAGCCCAAGTCTCCAAAGCCTGTCAGCGATGCAGGAGGCTGCAAAAGGGTTGTAGCGAGTCGAGGCCGTGTCAGAGGTGTATCGGTGTTGGACTGGAGGATCAATGTCTCCGGAGTGAAATGATGATTGAGTGTCATCACAGTGGAGGCAGTCGACAAGGACAACATCACCCGCAGTCCCAGTCTCAGACACATGTTGTACTGCCCCGGTCTTATGTCCATCCTGGACTGGTGCCGGCTTCGGGTTCAACAGGAACAACAGCAGCAACAACAGGAACATGGTCCTTCACCCAGCTCCCAGCCAGCCCGGAGAGTTTGGTGAACTACCCTCTCGCCGGCGGTGCAGTGTCAGCCAGCTCTCCTCACCAGGCCCAACAGCACCACTATCAACCCAGCATTAACCTCCTCCCCAAGGCTGTTCTTGACCATTGCATCCCCCGTTTCTTCTCCCGGCTCTACCCAACGATCCCCATCCTCACCCCTTCCTATGTTGACCACTTTATCCACATGTCTTCCTGTTCCGCCACCGCCGCCACTCTCAGCAATGAGGGCGCCGAAGCCCAAACTCTTCTCCTCTCTCTCTCCGCCCTCGTCCTCTTGCAAATCGAACACCCCACCGCCCACCTCTTCACCTCCATCGGCATCCCACATTCCAACTCCGCCTACGGCCGTTTGCTCTTTGAAGAAGCACAAGCCAGCCACCACCGGGCTTTGGCTTTGGGTACACAACAAAAAAGGTTTGCTCCGACGCTTGAAAGGGTACTGATTACCTTCTTTTTGTATGCTTGTCATGCGTTGCTATTTCATCACTCTCAGGCTTTCTTTTGGTTGAGGGAGGCGACGACGCTATGGATTGTTTTACGGGTTGAGGATTCTGGATCTGAAGGAAAGGAGATGGCGAAGGTGAGGAGGACACTGGCAGACCGATTGTTTTGGGTGCTTTTGGTGAGCGAAAGGTCACATGCCATCCGCTACCGGCGACCGATAACGCTCCAAATTACTCGGACCACCCCGTCGCTGGATTTCTGTGCCGACCCCGAATTTACGGGATTAGCGAGCTTGGTGGCGCTGTTCAGGCCGTTGGATACGGGGTTTATGGCGTTGTTGAATCAGGAGGTGACAATGACGGCAAGCGCATTTGGAAGTCCGGCACTGGTGGCGGGGCCCTTGGATGTGGTGGAGAAGTTGATTGCGGAGGCGGTGCCCGGTCCAAGTCCGAGTCCGAAGACGGGTCCGGGTTCGGGTTTCGGTTCGGGTCCGGGCGCAGGGCCAGTTTCCCTACCATCAATGTCGCCTGATGGACGACTGGTCGATTCCACCTGTGTCTCTCCGACGTCAACAATGCAAGCTCCCTGCCTCCTCCCTACCGGCCACCTCCACACAACCCAAGTTGCCAACCTGAAAATCACCCAACTCTGGCTATGCGTGATCCTCTGGCAGATCCGGTTGCGCATCGGGTTATTAATTCCCCCTGGTGGTACAGCGGTGAAAGAGTCACTAACCTACCACCACCCCCTCTCCATCGCCCACGAACTCGTCCTCGTCACTCAAAGCCTTCCCCTCGAAAGCATTCGCGTCCATGGCGTCGGGTTAACAGAGAAGGTATTTGATGTCGCTTGTGCCATGGTTGATGTTTTGGCGAAGGTGCCTTTGGAGGATCGGAGATGTTCAGAGTCGCTGTTGACAACGAGGGAAAGACAGGAGGAAGAGGAAAGGGACGATTTGGAGTGGATTAGAGGGTTGATTCATCGATTACCGGGTGGGAAAGCGATTTATGATGAGTTATTGGGGAAACACATTGCTGGTGTGTTGCCTGGGATGGGATTGAGGGCGTTTGAGGAATGAGGCGGGTGACGTGGTGGGTGTCACTGTCCGGCGAAATGGGGAAGCATGAAGCAATTGATTCTGGAGAAGAAGAAAATGAAGACCTCCAGAGGCGAGGGGAAGCTCCGAGTCGGTTTGCATACATGGAAATCCCGCTGTTCCTTCCTTGTCATGGTAGGTAGCTTCCTTCCTGTCGTGATGGGTGCCTTCCGTACAAGCATGCGCGATTCCCATACTGTTTGGGTCTTTGCGTGCCCCGTGCCCGACGGTGGGATGATATCCTCAAATGACTCTGGATTTGGACACCGTGACTCGATTGGATTTTGTTTGCATTTCGAAAGATGAGGACACAAAAGGGAAGGTGATGTCTGCATTGTATCCCAAGAAGGACGCATAGATGACGTCGTTGTTGAACTCGATACCTATATCAAGTAAAACCAACCAGAAAAAGGGACACCGCAGACGAAAAATAAACAGGAAAGAATGAACAAGGGGAGAGAGAAAGAAAACAATCCAAAAGTCGAAAAAAAGGGCAAAAAGAATCGCCCACGGCGAGACTCGAACTCGCAACATTCAGATGGCTTAGAAGACCCGTCAAGGTTTCTTTAAAAGTCTGACGCGCTAACCAATTGCGCCACGCGGGCTTTTTTGTGTGATTGGCCGTGCGGAAAGTCCACCTATAAACTTGGGAGGACCTTGTGCTCTGGTCAAACATTCGTGCGAAACACAACTAACGAGCAGCATCACCACCACCAGCAAGCAAGCCACTCCCTTGCCAGCTGCCAAGTCTTTGTCGATGAAAGGAAATCACCAACCGGTTCCATTGTAACTGTCGTATAATGAACAAAGAAAAAATATCCAGCTTTTTATCGCATTCCCATTCCCACATCCATATCGACACTCTTCTCCTGCTCCTGGGGTATATGTTCCTAGTACCTTACTCTTAACTGATAATAATGCACATTGTACCATCCCATCCATTCCAACCTATCCAGCCACACCAACCCAAGCAAGGTTCGCTTAAACGCATTTAACCCAAGTTAAACTCACTAGCCATATTCCCCATCATCATCTTCATCTTCTCCTTCATCCTCCGTCCCGCATCCTCATCCGCCGCACCAAAGTCCCTGTCATCATCCTCATTCCTCGGCTTCCTGAGAGTACTAGAACCATCACCCACATTCCTGCTCGTCTTATTCGTCTTATCACCAGGCTGCACAGGCCTGTGCGTTCTCCGTGAAACACCACCGCCAATTCCACCGGGCGCCTCGCGCAGCCCAAAGGCCTTGGCCATGTGACCGAGATGTAGCGCGGTCATGTCAAAGTAGACGCGCTCCTCGCGGACGTGCGTGGCGTAGGCGCGGATGTGCGAGCGGAAGGCCTGGCGGGCCGAGACGAGGAGCGGGTTGTCGGGGGTTTTGTTCTCCGCGTCCTTCTTGGCGTCCTTCTTGCCCTTCTTGCCTTGCTTGGAAGCGGCGAATTTTTCGGATTTGGATTCGAAGACGGGCGTGGCGCCGGGGAGAGGAGCGAGGAGACGCTGCTCAAAGTGTAGCTGGAGCGCTTCGGCGCGGGAGGCCCAGGACTGACGATCGGTTTCGAGAACGCCGGACTCGGTGCCGGGCACGTTGATGGTTGTGGCGAAGCCCTTTTGCAGAACGGAATCGTAAAGCTGGGGCGCGATGGGGGTCGATTTAGGTAGGATGGAGATGTAGCCTTCTTCGGAGCCGGGGAGGAGGAAAAGAACGGCTTTACCGGCGCGACCGGCACGCGCGGTACGACCGATACGATGCATGTGGTCGGGTACGGCGAAGGCCGGGTCATATTCGATGACAAGTTCGACGGCGGGGACATCGAGACCACGGGAGGAGATATCGGTGGTGATGAGCACGGCGGGGTCCTTGCACTCGCTAAAGGCCTTGAGGGTGGCGGTACGGACGGGCTGAGCAAGCGAACCGTGGAGCTTGTGCAGCATCACGGTGGGGTTGGCTGGGGAGGTGATGTATGTTGCTGGCCCGACGGTCGTCTCGATGTGGATGTTCGGCTTGGTGGGAGCTTCGCCTTCGGGCTTAGGTTCGGGCTCAGCGCGCGGTGCGGTAGACTTGAGAAGCTCGAAGTGGTAGTCGACCGAGTCGGCACACGAGATGAAGATGATGGCCTTCATGACCGAGCCCTTCCTGGCAAAAGTCGACTTGAGCAGCGCAATAAGCGTGACCAAGCGCAACTTGGCGGGTGTAATGATAGCGGCCTGCTTCAACTGGGCGGGCGCAGAGAACGCCGTCTCAACCGCACCAGTCTCGGCATCCTTCTCCATATCGCTCTTGGACGCAGTGATGTGAACGGCATCCTCCAAACTGATCTCGCCCAGCTTCTGCACGTTCATCTTCATGGTAGCCGAGCAAAGAACCGTGACTCTCCTCGAAGGAAGAACACCGTCCAGAACCACACCCTCGGCGTTCTTCTTCTGTAGTGTACCCGCCCTGATCTTGCCGACAATAGTCTTGATATCGTCCTCGAAACCCATTTCCATCATGCGATCACCTTCATCGAGTACCAGCCAGCGGACCGTACCAACTTCGAGAACCTTTGTGTTGTCGAGATGATCGGTCAAGCGACCGGGGGTAGCAATCAGGATGTTGACACCCTTTCTGATGCGCGCCTTCTCCGACTTTTTGCTTTCACCGCCAATTACCGTGGTACACACTAACCAAGGGGCGCAGCGCAATACCTTCTCGAGCACAACAGCGATCTGCTTGCAAAGTTCGCGGGTGGGAGCAAGGATAATGGCGAAGAGTCCTGAGTTGCGGTGCACCTTGGTGGCCTTGGGGGTACCGTCCTCGTTGTGACTGAGGGCCAATATCCTGTGGACGATGGGGAGAAGGTATGCTAGCGTCTTTCCGGAACCCGTCTCGGCTTGTAGGAAGGCATCGGTGTCCTCCTTGATCAATTGTGGTATCGTATTCTTCTGGATGGCTGTCGGGGCCTTCATCTCGAGCTTCGTCGCCAGGTGCTGGGATACACGTCGGGAGAGACCCAATGAGAGGAAGTTCTCTGCTTCGGCCGTGAGGGGAGCGTTCGAGGGCTGTGCTGGCTCAGCTTCTTCGACTTCGGCCTCCTCGAAATCGGTTACGGGAACGGGGTTCGAGGTAAACAGTCGCGACGATACGAGGCCGGTCTTCATGGCATGTGTCGGGGGCGGCGCTGGGCCTCTCGGGGCAGGATTGCTTGTTCGTGGAGTTTTGGAGAATCTGCCGGCGTCTCCATCCTCTGTCCGCTGACGTTTCGCGCCTCTGTTCGCGTAGTAGTCGTCTCGTCGCCCTGTCGAGGCCTCTTTTGTCTGGTCTTGTCCACCCTTCTCGCCCTTTTGCGCCTTGACTCGGTCCCTCCAACGGCCACCAGTGTACTTGACTGTTTGCTTGATCGGAGCATCTCCGATCTCAAAGTTGAGGAACATGTCATCGTCCGCCATTTTGATTGATTTTGCTGCAAAAACGAAGGGTGGTGGTGCTGGCAAAGATCAATTGGAATGGCGAGATTCAATTGTTTGGGGAGACGAATGTTCTGGGAATTGGCAGAAAAAAAGTTCAACGTCCATGTCGATCCCCGCAACACAGTGGCCCTCAGTGGACTGGCACTCTTAAGCCGTTGCACTGAAAGTGGAATTGGGTCCTTGGCCAGATCAAAGTGGGGCTCCCGCTGTGTAAGTGGACTGTATCAACTCGCACTGTCCCTGTATCATTCACCCGCCCTCTTCACCAGAAGGACAACATCAATGCCTGAGTCTGGAGAACGATGATGTTGAGAGTGGTACATGTGCTGCGTTAATTTCTCATCAATTGTAATTTGCACTTCAAGGGCGACCAAGACCTGGTTTGGTTGGAGAATCTTGAATCCGGTGCGCATAGAGTGTCTGCCGCACAGTCCGCATCTCAACCCCATTGAACACGTTCGGAAACGGATGAGGATGATATTGAGTAGGAAGTTTCTGGAGCTTCATTATCGACTTCCCATCGATAGAGTTCTTAGGGATAATATCCCATGATTGGAATAATGTTGATGTGTTCCTCACCTCGTAGCTAACTATTGCAATCTGCAAGGTACTTTGGAAACTCGTCCTATCGGAAACATGAAATGTTAGTGCCGTCGAAACCGAATTATTTCCCATCAACGCAGATTTTGTACACCGATCTAAGGTATCTTCACTGGCAATTAGCTCTGGTGATGAGAACATTATGGGTGCTACCTGGCCAATCCTCTTAGCTTGTGGTAGTCAAGTGAGTTTGACAGGCGAAGAGGTCGTACAAATCAACCGAACTTGACAGCCCTAAACGCCTCGCCTTGGCTGTAGAAGAGGCCTGGAGACTAGGTTTGAAGAAATATGAGAGACGCTTGAATGTGTACTGATCATAACCTATTCGGTTTATTTCTACGACCGCCTTGCAGAAAGAGCTACATCGGGAATCTTGAGGGCCGGTCGTTACATGTGACCTTAAACATAGGTATGCCTATGGGCATGTTCTTCTAGGTGTGGCCCGCATTGACAGCAAGTGTCTGGAGATCTCAGGCAAGATCATATGTAACTGCATGGAGAGCAAACTCCGCAAGCAAGCCTTTGATGTGGTGCCAGGTAACCCAGAACTATTTCTAACAGACAAACGGAGGAATAGGGTCGCCAGTTCCAACTTTGGAACCACCAGAGTGAAAACACTTGTTGACGAACATTGCTTAACAAAGCAACTAAGCACAATCTTGGCGTTATCGCAACAACTAACTCCTCAATCTGTAATGACCAACTTCTGAGCACTCATCATACAAAACTCCCGCCAACCCCCATCCATCACAATCCCACACCATGCAAACATGCTCCTCTTCACACTCACCCATCAATCTAAAAGCTGTAGATCTGATCCTGTGTATACCCCAACTCCTGCAACACCCCCTTCTTCCCACCACCCACCCATCCCTTGGTCCCCTTCAACGCCTTCTCCATGGCCGGCGGTCCACAAAGCAACACCTTTGTCCCGTTGCTCTCCACACCGGCACCACCGAGCCCGACCTGCTCCAACACCTGCCTATTCACGTACCCCTTCTGATGCGGCGACTGCGCAGACGGTTGAGAAACAACATAAACAGTCCTCAAGCGACCGGGATAGCTCTCCTCGAGCTTAGCAAGCTGGTCGCGCAAAAAGATGTCCTCGTCCGTGTTGACACCCCAGACCAGCGTGATGCGGGTGCTGTCGGCCGGGTTTGTCAGGATGCCGCGCACGAGCTGGTACATGGGGGTGATGCCGGCGCCGCCGGCGATCATGGCTACGTGCGGATGCTTGTTGGGCGTCCACTTGAGCTCTGGGATGGGAGCCACGGTTAGGGTGTCGCCGGGCTGCAGAGAGTGCAGGTGGGTACTTTGCTTTCCGCCGGGGTAGAGCTTGACCATCAGCTCGACGTAGCCGGGCTCGTCTGGTGGTGGGTGTCAGTTAGTGGGTTGACGGAAATAGATAAAGGATGATGGTAGGACTTACTCAGGTCGCTTGTGGGGGTGTATGGGCGGAGAACAGGAAGCCATCGTCCCTTGGGGAAGGAGATGGTCAGAAGAGCGGAGGTGAGGCCCAAGCCGCTTGGCTGAGAGGGATCGGGGAGCTCAAACCGC